GATTCTATAGTTCTTTTTTGTATCAAGAAACCAAAGTCAAAGATTCTTCAAAAACATTTCAAAGGAAAACACATTCCATTTGACGTTCATTGACCATATAGTCCGACCCATTTTGACCATGGAACAAAATGGGTTATGCCCATTTCGACTAAAGTCCATATGGTCATGACCATAACTGACCACTTTTGTAATGGTTTGGGTTGGACAATGGTCAACCATCCCATTTGACAGCTCTACCGGCGAAGCCCCACCGATGCACAACATGTCCGTCATCAATAAAATTTGTGTCCACGCACGGTTTTGCATGGGTTGCGCCTGGCCCATGAGTATCTATTGGCCCATGAGTGTCTCTTGGGTCAATTAACGAGCCTATTATTCAATTCCAAGTTTTTGACTGAGCTCGATCTCTTCTCTTTTTGGAGAAGAGCAAAGTTATTTGGATTCTTAAATCATGTAGTTTTTATTGATCATGATATCCCTTCCATTGAGAGACGACCAAAGTTTTCTTCACTGTGGGAGAGAATTTGCCCACTTTTTCTTCTCTCTTTGAGAATAAAATCCTTTTCGGAATCAAAACCGAGCTTTTCCCTACCCGTTTTGTATTCTTGTGTAGCAGCTTATATCGGGCTTGAAGAAGCAATCGAAGATATGGGTAGTCATTCAACGTCACGACTTAAAGTGATCAAAATTATGCTTTCCGGCTTAGCCGTGAGCTTTATACCGACGCATCAAGAAATTGTTTTTGATTCGCTGTGGTATAATTATCTTGTTTCTTCCTTTTTAAGTTTTAATGTTTTCATGTATTGTGGTATGAACAGATGTAAGATCGACATTTAAGTTAATGAAAAACAATGTGTTGCACAAACAAAATTTGTTTTCGCAGTTTATCAAAAAATGTTTAGAATATTGGAAAAGTTAGATTTGGCAAGAAAATAGAGGGACTAACTTCAAAGAATAAAATATGAAACCAAATAATGATTCTTTATTCTTCTTTCTATTCGATAAACCTACACTATGCACATACGAAAGTTTGTAAAGTTCATTAATCAAAATACGTAATTATCTATGTTTTGCTATAATTCATTAATGTTTTTTTGTTTTGACCTTTATATACACTATGTTAATAAATAGTAATGATCTATGTTTTTTATTTTGGTCATCATTT